GGCAGTTAATCTCGTAGCTTATAAAACAAGCTTGTTATTTTAAATATTTTAATTACATTTTTAATTTTTAAATTCAAATCTTTCAATATTTAATAGTTATATTGTACACATAAAGACCTGAAATTATTTTTTAAAAGATACATTTGATATATCTTACCTGAATGTTTAGCTCTTTGGCAATTTGCCGAAGTTGATGAAATTGAAATAAATTATTGTAAGTTCTTTCAGCGATGTTGTTGAGAGCAGAAATAAATCTTTTTGCTGCTGACCTATTGCTCATTCCAGAACCATGCTGGGATCGCTCAAAATTTAGGTTCCCAAACTCATCAGAGTAAGTTCCGAGCATGCTTAATAGGAGAGTAAGAAAAAGTTACCCAATGTGGAATGTGGAATGGCTATAAAAGTCTAGGTCTCAGCCATGAGGCTCATGTAGCAAAGATTTACACACATTTAATTACAGGATGAACATTATAAAATTCATGAAGGCATAGACTATTTGGGTTAAGAGTATTGTTGATAGTCCTTCTAAGAAACTTCTAAATTTGAAATGAAAAATGCACAAAAGCATAAATTTGACAGTCCACAATAAAAATAACTGGAATATTACTTTTGATTCATAAAAAAATGAAATTTTAAATATATTAAATTTAGGCTTTACTGGATAAAAATGTGTTCTCAACTCCTAGTGCAGCATCTAGCAAATAAAAGGTATTTAAAAATACTCTAGCAAAGAATTCTGTTGACCCTCAGTAATGATGGTTAGATATTAAAGAATAATCTTTTTACCTCCAGTACTCTTCTATTGCTTGTTTCATAATATCACCAAGGGAAAAACATGCATCTGACAGTTAATTTTAGCCAAAGTGTGAAAATAACAGAGATTCAATTAGCCATCGTCTCTAATCCAGCTCAACTGTCAACTCCTTGCCTAATTTTCTGCCAGTACAATAGACATTTATAATCTCACTACCTGGCTCATACACAAAAATTTTATTTAGTCAGGAATTAATTACCCAAATGTGAATTGGTCACCTCCTAAGCAGTAGGCTTATAGTAGTGAATGTCCGTAATGAACTCACTATAGTGGTTCTGGATAGCAAAAATAACTATCAGTAAAAAAGCCTATCAAGTGGGAAAAAAATATTTACACATCATACATCTGGCAAAGGACTGATATTCAAAACATATAATTTACATACAAATGGCTTACAGGTACCTGAAATGGAATGATCTCCAAGATTTAAGTGCAATAAGCAAG